TTTTTAGAAAATTTTAGTTTTAAATTGGTATCCAAAACTAGAGTTGGGAGTAGTTTGTTAGTTACAAAGTAAATAGTTACTGTAATTAAATGACCTTTCTGCTGAAAAAGAAAATTAAGGGTGTACTTTTTATTTTTAACTTATGTAATTACAATTACTTATAATGTACTTGCCCTAAAACTGTACATTTATTTAATATTTCTGTTTAAATCAATACAGAGAAGCAGAAAGATTGTATTTTTTTATTATGCAACTATATTACACAACAATTCTATTTTAATTTTTAAAAAAAAAGACAGTGATAGAGCCAATTCAGTGGATGTGGATGTTTGGAGGCCATGATGGACCTGATAGAAAGATTTTAGCCAGGATACTAGGGTTACATCCATACTCTTTACAAGAAGTACCAAGGGGTTTTTAATGACCACAGAGAGTCAGGACCTCGGTTTAATGTCTTATCCAAAAGATGTTGCTCACTGAGAGTATAGTGTCCCCTTCACTTCACTGGGGCATTAGGACTCACACAGACCACAGTTTGAGCGGCCTCTGCTAGCCCTTAATAAAACCACTTTTAACAGCAACCTATAGTTTTTCCATGTGTTCTAGCATCCAGGTACTGACCAGGCTAAAGGCCGGTATATACTTCTGCATTGAGCAATAGCCGAGACCCACAGTGCCTGCCTTGTGCGTAGCCATTATACTTCTGCATCAGCCAAGGCGAAAGCTATGTGACCATGTGAATGCTGTGTCGGACCTCACATGTACGCTTGACACAGAAGCAGCCTTTAGCCCTGTTCAGCTTTATTCGGTAATCTTTCTTGGGCTGCAGGGTGATATTGTAATTTTTGCTAATATATGGACAGAAAAATCCGCTTTGCGCTGTGGCGCATGCATGGTCTAAAAGGGTTGAGTTTATTTTCCTAATGAGTTATAGGTGTGTTTTGAGAATAAACCAATCAGATTCTCATTTCCCATTTCCTTTAAGAGCCAGTTGCGTCATGCCATAAGCGCATTTACTATTTACATGACATAAAGTAAGTGTAAGTGGAAAAACTGAGCATTTCACTAGCAAGAAAACAGTTAAACAGAGCATCGACCGCGCGAGAATGAGAGATAAATGATCTATTTTCACTTTCACTCTAGTGGATAGGGAAACCTTTACGCACAGACATCAATTAGCCTAATTATTTTGTTTAAAACTATTTCTAAATTCAGTTCTAATTTCCAGCAAACGAATAAATGAACAATAATTACGAAGTGTGTTCAAAAACCTGAGTTATATCCTAAAACACATGCTGTGCCCCATATGGTCTAAAACCTGCATGTGGGCAAAAAAGCTTGTTTTTAATAAAACAAATATAAATATGGATATAATAAATATTACGGCTAATAATAATAACATTTTACAAAAGCAAATTGTTATGAATGAACTGAAAAAGCCTCCCGAGATAAAGAAGGCATAAAAGCAGTGGTTTTTCATATTTATGTAGGCTAGAAAATAATATGTTTTGTAATATTTTAATCCTTTATAATTATATGCTATATATATATTCTTATTATATCCTATATATATCCTTAATATTATAGATTTTTTTGATATGTAAAGATATTTGCGTATTGCAGTACATCATGTGCGTATTAAGCAGTGTGTAAGCGAAACGCAATTCTGCGCTGGACTTTAAACCAGGTTTGTTTTGGTCTATTGAAAAATCAATTATAATTTCTCAAAATAGCAACACCTAAGGGTGCACATATGAGCGCAAATGCTTTTGCTTTTTAAACAGCATGGCGCAATGCCTCAAAACGACTCTCGCACCAAGCTGAAACTAGCAAACAACTATTGCATCGCGCCTTGCGCCACATTGCAAAAACTTTAAAGCTCATTATCTTAAAATTATTCAGAACGAATATAGAACCTTATAATTCCAAGGTGACGATATGATTTGAATTTTTTATGTGATAATGTATTTTTCAAGTAAAGCTAAAAAGTGCTGGTTTGACTCCAATTATTAATATTGATGAGCATTGAAATTTATATGGATTTTAAGTAGTTTTGAGGCAAGTAAACACACCCAAAATTTACTTTTTGTTGCTTGTTCAAACTACTTGTTTAAAATCAGTTGAAATAACACAATTCTTTGAGATTAGAGAAGTTAACTTAATTGATTTGAGTTGGGACAACATGAATGGATTTTTTTAGTGTACATGGCTTTTTGAGTAACTGTTACTTTAAAAACAAAGTCATTAGAAAAGTAATTGAAATACAATTTGAGTGATGTAATTGATAATTAATTACGTTTTAGAGTAGCTTACCCACCACTGTCCATTACTGAGTACAAATAACAAAAACTGTGATCAATTTGAGTGCAGATTCAACACTGAGATGACATTTAGACTATTTTGACTAATCACGTTGATCTGATTTGAACAATTTGCAAGTTTATAAATAATTAAATTTAAATAATTTAATTAGGAATGACATTACGAGACCAAAACAGGTTCAGTTATTTGTGAGCATAAGGGAAATGAAAGATAATCCATTAATTATTTTCAGTGTCACTGTGTGAATAATATGTCATCTTGTAATCCATAAAAAAACAACTGTAATCTGATTATGAGCATTTTAAAATGTACTATAATTGTAATATGGTTACATAATCTAGATGTAATGTAATCAGTTACTACCCAGCATTGCTTAAGAATGTGGAGCTCGATCCTTTGAACTAAACAATCAAACTCTTGTTTGTTTGAGAAAATTATTGTTTACAGGATACAGGGGGCTGGAACCATCCAGTGTCTGAAAAGACATCAACTACAGCTGCAGCTTGTGAACAAACAGATGACAGGACTTGTCAAGCACTAATGATCTGAACATTACAGTTCAATCTACTTGGGGAATGACTAAAGTTATTTATTTGGAAGGGTTGAATCTTTAAGCACGCGTGTGACATTGTATATAATCTTGCATGTTCATACTCTCCACACCCTGAGGTGGTTTCAGTCCCAACCGCGTCCAAGCAAACAACCACGAGTGCAACTTAAAGATAAAAAGAAGTTTAATTGACCGCCACTGCTTGTCTTTTCTGCAAATGCGCTAATTTTATTTGAGTAAATGAAAAGAATGTGACTGAAGTTTGAAAAATCCCATTAACACTGAATGAATAATTCCTTTTATAAAGGATGAGTGTTTATCAGTGAAAGGGCCACGCCCAAAAATATACACGCTTATCAGTTTTTAAACGGAGAATTTCCACCAGTTGTTGACAAATTATGTCAAATGCAATCAAATGGTATCATGTTGAATATACAGAAATAGCATGAGTAACATTGAAAAAAATGGGTAACACTTAAGTTTAATTAACCAATCCTCAATATAGTTGCTTATTATCTACATATTATTAATATATTGGCTGTTTATTAGCACTTATATTCTGCAGTATTTTACATCTATAATCCTGCCTAAACCTTTACTTTATTAACTATTAATAAGCTGTTTTAAGCTATTAAAAGTTTGTTGAACCAAAAGTCAGTCAATGGTTTATTAATAAAAACTGCAAGAATATGACCAAGACTATACATATACTACTATATTCATTAGTTCTGGGAAATACATAAACTATTTTAGTTCAAATTGATTTGATGTTTCATACATAAAATCTACACAAATTCCATCATAAACAGTGCTTTTAACACCATTGCAGTGTAAAAACACATCCCTGACTACTATATAAAAACTATATCAACTCAAATTCTACACAAAATATACACAACTGCCAAAATGAGCATGAAAATCATTAACAAAGCCATGGAAGGTGAAAAGAAATACATTACTTTGGCTTCATTAGACATACACACATTGCAGTATTTTGGTTTATATTATTTTCTATTGTAAAAATAACGGTGCAGCTCACCTCAAAATTAAAATGTTGTTATCATTTACTCAACCTTTACTTCACTTCACTTCTGATATTATGAAGAATGTAAAAAAAACAGCCATTAAAAAAAATCTGAGAATCTTTTGTTTCTGCAATAGAAGCTTTGTCCAAACATTCTTCAGTATGAGTTATCCCTTTAAGTGTGCAACTTTTAGCAGGTGAAAGCACAAAAACTTCACAAAACTTTTTCCATTCAGCTATATTCAAATTGCTCAATTGTTCAGCCAATAGTATGTCTTGTTAACAATTCTATGACAGATTTTTTCCTCATCATAAATTAAAACGTAAATTTTTGACTGCATAGATTCACCAGTTGATGTTCAGAATGAGACTTGGAAACAGAAGACTCATGTCTCCTCTGTTGTTTTTCTCATGAGAGCACAGCATTAACTCTTGCTCAGGATGAAGTATTTTTAGAGACTCGCGTGTTGAATGTACAGTAGTGCAATACTGACAGAAATAAAGTGAACACTTATAAATGAGCAGCACCATGAAAATCAATAGCTAATCTGGCAATAAACATCAGCTTTAAAGAGTGCAAATTGTCCCAGAAAATATTACTTTCAATCTTTCAATACAAATATATATATATGTATATATATATATATATATATATATATATATATATATATATATATATATATATATATATATATATATATATATATATATATATATATTTAATGAATATTTGAATGAATATTTATATATAAATAATTAATAATCAAAAATTATTAAGATAATCTATCTATCTTAATATAAATATATATATATATATATATATATATATATATATATATATATATATATATATATATATATATGTGTGTGTGTGTGTGTGTGTACATACATAGAGATAGATAAATAGACACATACATACATACAATTATAAATAACACATTTAATCACAACATATACATAACAATATATAACATTTCCATATATAAGTTTCTAATATATATTGCTGAGTTAGTAAAACTAGTAAAAATATACCGATTAGATTTATCTTCAAATGTAATTTAACTCAATTAATTTAGAAAAGCATAAAAATGACAAGATACATACTGGGATAAAGAGTCATTGGACTTTCGGTTTGATTGCTTTTTTCGTGATGATCCCCATGTCCTTTGTCATCCCCGGTGTCGTAAACCACAAACAGGGCGTACAGGACAATGGTGATGATTTCCAGAATCAAGGCCAGAATGGGGAACTTAAGCCTCATGTTGGTGCTGTATGTCGGCATGCTGTTCCTCTGCTGATTCTCCTCTCTCTTCACCCTGTCTGGAGCTTGTGGGGGAAGCGCAGAAACTGGCTGGTGGTTTTGAATTGGCAGCAGGTTTTAGAAAGACCAATGACAAGAGAGACAATTAAGGTGGGAAGGGCCACACCCCCTGCTGCACAGCACTTGTGGGAATGAACTTCTCTCCTCCTACTGAGAGAAAGTCAGGGCATAAATAAAAAGAAGTCTTTATGGCACAGGTCTCCTTAGGGAACCATAAATATTGCAACTTTCACTGCACCAAAATATTGTTTTGTGTTATGGGAATTTAATGGCTCACCACTGGCTGACCATATTTTTCACATTAAAATAGCAATTGAGTTTAGAAATTGTAAATATAGGCAATTGATTTATAGTTATGTTGTTATTTAGATTATTGCAGGCTTAAACATTCTTTTGCATGTGTTTTGTGGTTTTTCTTGTTGGCACACCCTGATGATTGAGAGTTGAGCTATAGAGCAGCAAACATGCAGCAAATGAGTGCAGTGGGAAATTTCATTCTCACTTCCTAAATAAAGAATTTTAAATTTTTTTTTGGTAACCAACAATGTAAACAGTGTGTATTATGATAAATTTAAATGTGGTGTATTAAAGATTGACACCCAGTGGTTGAACGTTCGAGGTTACAGAAGTAACCCTTCCTTCCCCGAGGAGGGGAATGGAAGTGCTATAAGTGAACGGGCCAATGAATGAATGAATTAGCAGCGTAAGCTTGCACAGGTGTGCTTCATTGCCAATTATCCCAGCCTATAAGCACACCTGGAGCGAGCAAACGCCATCCTTTTAAGCTGAAGAGACTTTCAAACAGCTAAGGGACAGTCATTATGGCGACGAAGTATAGCACTTTCGTTCCCCTCCTCGGGGAATAAAGGGTTACTTCTGTAACCTCGAACGTTCCCCTTTGGTTGGTGAACTCCAGTGCTATAAGTGGATTTGATCTTTGTGAAAATCCACGAATGGGAGAACTATGGAAAGCGCCATAATGACTGCACCTTACCAACGCCCCCTATGAGGGGATAGTCAAACAAGCGTGACACACCCACATCATGGGGGGGCGCAGTCCTCCAACGTGTCCCTGGCCCTAATTTATCCTACTTCAACAGAAGTCTTACGAATTTAGATATATTTTTTGGGAAGTCGTGAGCATCTAGATAATTCTAGAAAAAACGACCCGATAGGGAGGACACTGCGGAGGCCATCCGTTACCCAAGGGGGGATAGATGGTGGAATTTACATATGGACTAGCCTTAAAAAGGGGGAGTACGCATAGCAAAAGAGTGGTTAGCGGAGAGGGAAGACACGGGTCTGCCCAGGGGGGGAACTTAACCGTGGCGGAATAAGCATATGGGATCGCCTAGTGGGGATCATGCATAGCAGGCACCTATACCCAAAACGCGGGCTGACCAGCGGGCAGACCTACAACGTAGTGGGCCAGCAAGTGACTCCTCCGCTGAGTCAGTGCTGGGGGCCACAGAAGAATCTGCAGGGCTCACCTGACGGGGAACTTTACTGACAGATAAAAAGGCGCACTTATCTCCGTGTTAGGGAAAATGGCGCAGCAAGCGTGTCTCAACACCCTACCGAGTTGTTTCCTCAATCACCAAAGGGTTACCTAATACCCTTGAGGAAACCGGCTCCACTCACAGATTGTAAAACCTCAGATGGTCTAAAATTCTGAGTACGGTCCACATAAATGCGGAGAGCGCAAACTGGACAAAGTAAAGAAAGGGCTGGGTCTGCCTCCTCCGGGGGCAGCGCTTGCAGGTTCACTACCTGCCTCTGAAGGGGGTGGTAGGAACCTTGTGCACATAACCCGGGCGGGGTCTCAGGATGACGTGAGAGTAATCCGGCCCGAATTCCAGGCATGAGTCACTGACCGAAAATGCCTTTAGGTCCCTGACCCTCTTGATGGAGGCCAACGCGACCAGCAGAGCTGTCTTCAGGGACAGAAATCTTAGAGATACTGATTCGAGTGGCTCAAAGGGATGTGCTCGCAAACTCGTGAGAACGAGGGCGAGATCCCAAGAGGGCATGAGAGGGGGGCGAGATGGATTAATTCGCCTAGCACCCCTAAGCAACCGGATGACGAGGTTATGCTTTCCCACGGTGCCGCCAGCTACCGTGTTATGATAAGCGGAGATGGCGGCCACGTAAACCTTGAGAGTGGAGGGCGACAGCTTGACTGCTTGAAGGAAAGAAAGCAAAACACTAATCTGGCAGTTTCGGGGGTCTTCTCTGCGAGAGACGCACCATTCAGTGAATAGATTCCACTTCAGGGTGTAGGCGCGCCTCGTGGAAGGTGGGTTATAGCCTGAGTGATGGTATTAACCACCGCAGTCGGTAGGTTACCTAAGTCTTCCTCCGGTCTAAGGACCACACGTGGAGGTTCCAAAGATCGGGGTGAGGGTGCCAAAGGGTGGTTGGGCCAAAGGGGCGCAACTAGCAGAACCTGTTCCTCGTCCTCCTTGACCTTGCACAGTAAATGCGCGAGCAGGCTCACTGGGGTAAACGCATACTTGCGCATGCCCCGAGGCCAGCTGTGGGCCAGTGCATCCGTGCCGAGAGAGCCCTCGGTCAGGGAAAAAAACAACAACTGGCAATGAGCGTTCTCGGGGAAAGCAAACAGATCCATCTGGACCTCCCCAAATCGCTCCCATATCAGCTGAAAAGACTCGGGTGGAGTCTCCATTCTCCAGGGCGTAACAGCTGTCGCATTGGCTGCACGATTGTGCCTGGAACGTGAATGGAGCGCAGTGATTTCAGCCGCGGGTGACTCCAGAGGAGCAGACGGCGGGCGAGCTGAGACATGCGGCGAGAGCGCATACCCACCATGCGGTTGATATACGCCGCCGTCTCCGTACTGTCCGTCCTGACCAGCACGTGTTGCCGCTCCAGCACCGGTAAAAAGCAGTGGAGAGCGAGGAACACTGCCAACAGCTCTAGGCGATTGATATGCCAATGCAACTGGGCACCCTTCCACAGGCCCGCAGCTGCATCCACGCGACACACGGCCCCCCAACCCGTGTTGGAAGCATCCGTTGAAACAACAACATGGCTGGACGCCTGTCCTAGAGGCACACCGGCCTGTAGGAACGAGGGGTCGTTCCAAGGGCTGAGGGCGCGGCGACACAGCGCAGTAACAGAGACCCGGTGTGTGCCACCGTGCCATGTGCGTCTTGGGACCCGATCGTGAAGCCAGTGCTGCAGTGGTCTCATATGGAGCAATCCGAGCAGCGTGATGGTGGCTGCGGATGCCATATGCCCCAGGAGCCTCTGAAAGAACTTCAGTGGGACCACTAGTTTGCTGTCGAGCTCTCTCAGACAGCCCAGCAACAGGCGAGCTCGTTCCTCGGAGAGGTGCGCAACCATGGTGACCGAGTCCAGCTCCATCCCGAGTAAAGAGATCCTCCGCACGGGGGCGAGTTTTCTCTTTTCTCGGTTGACCTGAAGCCCCAGTAGGCGGAGATGCCGAAGCACCTTGTCCCTGTGCATAATCAATTGCTCAATTGCTTAATCAATTGCTTAATCAATCAGCCAGTCATTGAGATAATTGAGCATGCGGATGCCCGCGAGCCGAAGGGGCGCTAAGGCACCCTCCGCGAGTTTGGTGAAGACCCACGGAGACAGGGAGAGCCCGAAGGGGAGGACCTTGTATTGCCACGCTCGACCTTCGAACGCAACCCGCAGAAACTGGCGGTGGCGTGGAAGAATGGAGACATGGAAATATGCGTCTTTCAGGTCTTTGGCTGCAAACCAATCCCGAGGACGACGCATTGGAGAATGCGCCTCTGCGTGAGTATTCTGAATGACAGCCTGTGCAGACAGCGGTTCAAAATGCGCAGAAGGATTGGTCGTGACCCACCGCTCTTACTGGGTACGATGAAGTATGGGCTGAAAAACCCACTCTCCATCTCGGCTGGAGAAACTGGCTCGATTGCACCCTTCGCCAGGAGGGCAGCAATCTCCTTTTGCAAGACAGGGGCGGACAGGGGGTTGACCCTGTTGAAATACACGCCCGTGAACTTGGGGGGGGGGGGGGGGGGGCGCTTCACGAACTGAATTGCGTAACCTAGTCCGATTGTGCGTATGAGCCACCGCGAGGGGCTGGCCCGCGCTAACCAGGCAGGCAGAACCCTCGCTAATGGAGTCATCGCTACAATCACTGACGTACCAGCGGTGGGGCAGTGCGGAGTGGGTGTGCTGATCCGGGAAGCGCGAGGGTCCCACGGAAGAGCTGGAGGAGAGCGATTCGCTCTGGCTCCGCACCCTGACTCCGGAGAAGGGGCTAGAGGGCTGAGGGAAAGAGATCGTCCCCCCAGCACTCGTGAGCCACTGGCGAAGCACGTAAAACCTGCGAGCCGGAAGGCAGCGCGTCCCGGATTGGCAAGGTTCGTGCTGTCACATCCAGGGAAGGGAAAAAGTGCTCTTTCATTGATGTTTTCATGGCAGTAAAAAGTGCCGTAAGAAATGGGGCCCCGCTCTCCAGCGGGGAAAGAGCAAGTTCCCTCTTCTCCAGATGGCCTGTCCCAGGGACGCTTCGCAGTCCGTTGCCCGAATTGGCAGCGTTCTGGGCAGGGGGGGCTGTCTGCTTCCAAGGTGCTCGACGCGCTCGCTTCATATCAGCCAGGGGTGGTGCTCCTGGATCACTAATGTGGACATCGTCCTCCCCAACGCACACGCAGTGGACTCAGTAGTCCGAAGAGCTAAGTCGGCTGCGGTGCGAAGTAGTAAGCCTGGGTTGGACCCACCCTCGTGCAGCTCGGCCAGCGCCTGCACTTGGTAGCGCTGGTAGGTGGCTATCGCATGCAAGGTGGAAGCAGCCTGGTCCGCAGCTTTGTAAGCTCTAGCTCCGAGGGAGGCAGATAACTTACAGGCTTTGGATAGGAGACGAGGCAAACCCCGCCAAGAAGAGGCGCCGCGCGGATTGACCGCCATCGCGCACTCAACCTGAGGAATCACCACATACCCCCTGGCTGTTCCACCGTCAA